AACTTGAGAATGCTTTTGAATGCAGGCGGATGGGGGGCATCGGTAATCATTAACAAAAATATTAACAGATTGTACTGCGCTATCTAGGGAAACAATTTACTTGTGGTAATATAGCAAAGCTAATAGAAACTCTTCTGATGTGAATTAACCTGATTCTGTGAACAGCCCTCACATGACAGAAAGTCTGATATTAATCACTCTGTCATAGGTTGTGAAGGAATATTTAATATGATTGGATTGGAGAATATATTTGTATTAAACCTAAGGTAGATTTAGAACTTCTCCTTACCACCAAAAATCCTATTTTTAACTCCTACATTTGTTTTATTAAATTTTCTGCAAGACACGTCAGCTGCTGCTTTTTGCGACGTCACTGCCTTAGATTTTTGATTTGATTAGTTTAATTACAACAAAGCATATAAGAGTTATCTGTTGAAGAAGGAGTTATGCCTTCATTGCGGACGTTCTTAGGAAAACTGACTCTAATCCACGTTATACGTGAGGAAAATGTTCATGAAGTTAAACTGTTCACCTGAAATCGAAATTCAGGTCAAACTACCAGTGATCAGCGACTTGACCGCTGGTGAGTCACTGAGACGTTCAAGAACTTACATTTTTAAGGCTAATTTCTTAAGATAACTAATTATTGGGTTGACAAGAAAGTAATTTCGGTTTACACAAATAGAGAGCGTTATGTTCGTTTTGCTATTCTTCTGTCAATTTTATAATTTTTTTTCTTTTGAGATTTGGTAGCTGACACGTTTTAGATTGCTATAGAAAAAAATTACGTGTATTTTTGTTTCCAACTGTTAGTTAACGGTAAATTTTAATATGGGCTACAAAAATAAACATTTACGACAAATTTTACTTAATTTTCATAAAGGCAAAAAAGTAAGCGCCTGAGGCTCACAAAGAGATATTTGAAGTTTATGGTGCTGATTGCTTAACAAAATGTATGTGTCAGAATTCGGTTTAGATTTTTCAACTTGAAGAGGTCTAACATTCTGGCTTACTTTTTGAAGTTGATGATGACAAAAATTAGTCATAATTGAATTGAATCGTTATGTAACTGTGCGACAGATTGCAAAGAGGTTAAATGTACGCAGGCAACAATTGAAAATCTCATAAGGTATCTTGGATCTGTAAGAAGCTCGATATTTGGATTCTGCATGAATTGAAAGAAATTCACGTAACACAATGAATCATCAATATTTGCGATACGCATTTCAAACGCGATGAAATCGACCATTTTTTTAAATGAATTATCACTGGCGTTGAGAAACGGATTGTCTACAATAATATTAATAGGAAAAGGTCATGTGTCAAGCATGATGAATCAGCACAAATCATACCGAAAGCTAAATTGCATCAGAAAAAGATCGTGCTGTCAGTTTGGTGGGATTACAAAGGTGGGTTGTATTTTGAGCTGCTTCCAAGCAACCAAACGATCAACTCAGATCTTTGCTGCCAACGACTGGAGGAAACAATCAAAGAGAAAGGACTGATTAAAGTTAATTTTTTATCTAGAAAAGAATTGAGTTTTATTTTGCACTAAAAAACTGAAATTAGCTTTTTGCCAACTCGATAGATTCTATTCTGAAAATAACATTTTAGAAAAAAAAAATAATTGAATACTTGGTTTTATTTTGATAAAAGATTTTGCTAAATTTGGAAGCGTTTCTATGCAATTTATTAAGTAGAAAAGATATTAGCTGTTCCTGCAGAAAAGTAAAAATTAGTGCATAAAATATTCTTTTAGTTTATCGTTAAAATTTCTGTCTGCTACGTCAAAGACCAAAGAATATAAAAATTTATTTTGTCTGTTACTAACAATGAAATATAGAGTATGGAGCTCTGCAATGAAAATTTTGTCGATCTCTACTAATGTTGAAAAATATACCTAACTGTAGGTTACGTGACTGAAATGTTAAGTGTTAAATTAAATTAAAGATAAGTAAGTAAATGATAAGTAAATTAAAGATAAGTAAGTATTTAAACCAATAATTTAAACCATTCATAAATAATAATAATAATTTAAACCAATCATAAAAATTTAAGAGAAATAATAAACAAATGAAAGAGGAGTAAATTAACAGAAAAGAAAACATGATCGAAAGATCAAAGAAAATAAGTATTTCTGATCGGTACTCTTCGCATTCAGATAAAATTACATCTTTATTTTGGTTAATCTATTTTAACGCCATTTTGACTAGATGTTCATAAAATTTAGTTCATAAAATTTCCTTCTCCTGATGGGATCGTTTTTTGACAAGATTTTCTTCCTCAGTTAATCATGTTTTTTCATTTTTCTCTTCCCAAGAAAAGTGAGACAGTTACTCAATACTTAGCACTAGCAACTGCTAAATAAAATGTTACTAAAATTTTTTTTGTTAACATTGCGTTTCAGTTGCACAACAAACTACCGGAATTCATTTTATTTAGAGGATATAAACGCTATGGTTAGAATGACGATTTCGCTCACAAGTTGAGAAGTACCGGAACCGGGCTCTGGCTGAAATTAAGCCCTGATAACAGTGAGATTTTTCTTATCTTAAAATAGATACTAATAATATAGTGAAGTTGCTGAATCTATACTTGGTACTATCTATACTTGGAATCTATACTTGGTTTTTAAAACTAAGTGAAATAAGTCCAGACATAAAGAAATTGATTTCTCTTAAACAGGCACAAATTTCGCACTAAATTTTAGAATTAAAATATTATAACTTAAATTTTGATAATTAAAATGGTAACCAATTTTTAATCAAATATATACCATTTTAATTGTTATATTTCGAAGTAAGGTGGTTATTAAATTTTGATAATTCGACTATTCAACACACTACAACTACATATATACCTGTGTGGTACCGTCCACCATCTTGCAGCACTTGTTTGAGGTGGAGTTACGCTCACAGAGGCCTTTAAGACGTTTGCCTTTGACCCCACAACATCGAAGGAGTCGCCTGGAGCGGTGTCGCAGCCGATCATCATGGCCGCCATCAGACTGGCATCGTATAGTGTTCAACGATGAATCCCGCTTCACTCTTGAAGCAGATAACCACCGTGTTCGTGTCTGGAGAGGACGGGCCAGCGGTCCCAATCAGCCTTTGTTTTACAAAGGCATACAGCCATAACCCCTGGTGTGATGGTGTGGGGCGCTATTTCTTATGACAGCAAGTCATCTTTAGTCATCCTCCGTGCATCTTTAACAGCTCAACGATATGTGATACCATCCTGCGGCCGGTTGCATTACCCTTCATGGCACGTTATCCTGGGGCAATTTTTCAACAAGATAATGCCAGGCCACATACCGCTCGCATATCTCTGGACTGTCTCCGCGCGGTTGATATTCTTTCTTGGCCAGCAAGGTCACCAGACCTTTCACCAATTGAGCATGTCTGGGGCATGGTAGGCCGCCAGATTCGGGCACCACAAAATATCGCAGATCTGGAGCGACAACTGATGAATGCCTGGCAGAATGTGTCGCAGGATGACATTAGGAACCTCTACCATTCGTTGCCCTGACGAATTCAAGCGCGCATTGCCGCCAGGGGCGGTTCGACCAACTACTAATTTGAACACTCAGTGGGTGATTGTGAGTCGTGAACACGTACTATGACCTTGATTTTTTTAATCATTTTATTATCTGTGTATGAGCTATACACGTATTTAGTTTCATAAAAAACAACCACTTCCTTCATGGTGCTTTGTTTTTTTTTTTTTTTTTTTTTTTTTTTTTTTTGCAAAACGTGTATTTCATCGACTGATGCTGTACAATCAGCAGCACGAACATTTTCTAGGGCAGAGAGAAAATATAGTAGCACCAATTCGTTTTGTTTTAAATTTCTGATTCTATAAAATCCGCGATTCACTGTAAAGCTGTATATTTAAAGTAATATAAGAGTTTAATATAAGAATAAATATAAGAATTTTTCTATCCGATCTAGTTATAAAATAATGATGCCTTTTTCTCAGTTTGAAATTCGTATGCATGCAGACGCTTTTTTAAATGGTTAACCATTCAAATTGTATGATTTAAGATTGTATGATTGTGAAATTTCATTTTCATCCGAAGAAACGTTTCATATCGTTGATCTCTGGAGCGGAATAAAAACTAATATATGCTAGATATGAGTAAAAAGAAACTGAATTTTATCATTTCTACAAAGGGGAATTTAAAACCCATATACATACATTTTTTGCTGACTAAAAAAGTATTTTGAAATTTGCATTCAAAAATTACATACATTATTTTTTGTAAATTTTCCCTTATGAGGTTGGACTTTTTTTTTTTCTCGGACTAATTGACTCATGAAGAATATTTAAAACTTCAAGAAACTTTCGTTTAACAGGGTATTTTTAAGAATTGATATCGCGTGACACAAACTGCTGAAATCTGAGATTTTACCCAGTTCAGTTATTTCTTAACCTGGTACATGAGGGTACGACTATTAGTTGAGGATAAGCTTAACCCGAATCTTTATACATAAATCATATTCTTAACGATTTTTTTAAACTTATAGTTCACGTTGAATGCATTTCGCATATCTTTTATAACAATTCATACAGTATTTCGAATAAATGAACGAAGAAAATAAAATGCGGCTTTTAATCCACTTGTATTTAGTTTTGTCTTTACTTTCTTCTAATCTTGGTTAAATTAACTTGTATATAACATTAGTTAAATTCACTTAGAATGAAACCTTTAGGTAATATCTTGACAAAGACATTTTCTTTAGTTTCTTAGTATTAAATATGTTTGCTTTTATTAGATTATCTGACATGATGCAAAAATGATTCCATTTTAAGTTACAACAATATACATGGCTGTAATTAGACTATTGAATTAATAAACAGGTCGAGTTTTTTGTTTGAATAAATTAATATTTGTGAAAAAGTATTTATTACTTACGATTTTCACCTGACCTGAAAAAGAACCTGACGTAATTTTGTGAAGTCAATAACATCTATTTAAAATTATTTTTGATACAACTTACCTGGCATCCTGTTTCGGGATCTGCATAATAGCCTGTTGACTTTTCTTTGCACGTGAAGTGTGTTTTGGGTATGGAATGCAACCTTGGATATTCAGGCTCTTCAGGAGAACTAAATGAATGTTTCCAGTCATCGCTTTCGAAACGAAACACAGGCTTTGCTTTCGATTCTTTGCGATAAGTTATAGAATTTTTGGGGAAGTCGTTTTGGTCGTCATGTGGCAGGAGTATACCATCATTTGGAGAATAGCGAGAATCACTTTCGGCATCCGCGTTCTCTGCTGTATATTCATCATGTTCTTCTTCATCATTCAGTTTCTCCATGTCGGATTGTTTATTTCTAGTCCCATCGTATTCAGAAAATGACTTTTTTCCATCAGGTATAGCCGCTTGACCACTTTTACGAAAAAATGTCTTGATTACTGGTTCATTCGTATTGGCTTCCATCAATATTTTATCAGAACTCATTTCAGCCAATGTCTTGCGTTCATTTGGTTTGTTAAAGGTGCCCTTTGATTTTGCATCTCGAGTTTCTTTGCTGCTTTCTCCTTTCTTAAAGAAGAATTTATTGATATCAGCCGAAGACTGAACAACTTCTGTTTCTGTATTATCTGTTAACCTTTGATGCCCGTTATTATTTCGTTGCAAGTTACTGTAGCTTGGTTTTAAACGTTGCAAACTTTTCATATTAGTTTTATCAAATATTCTACGGTCTTGCTTCGTGTCTATATTCTTAACATTGTAAAATGTTTCAATTTGGGATTTAGGTTTTTGATCTCTTTTCGGTTCTTTGTAGGAATGAAATATTTGATAATTTTTTAATTCCCGAACTGGTTTTGCGTATTCATCGAAGGGAGATGCTTCAGTGCTTTTCTTTATATGGAATTCTTTTGCAAGTTTTCTCATTTTCTTTTCATATTCCGGTTTATGGTAATAAGTTCGAAAATTTCCAGCATTTCTCCCTTTGTCATCATTTAATTCTGATTGTCGAGCAGCATTACGGTAATGTGTTTGCGCTGGAGTGATGTGTGCTGCATTTCCAGAAAGCCTGCTGCCTGCAACAGGTTTCTGATGTTTGTCCAAAAATATTGGATTAGTTTGATTGCTAGATAAAGTAGACTGAAATGAAGTTTTGCTTTTTCCCATTGTAAAATGTGTCTTTATATAGGGGTCATGTGTTTTCTCAGTAGATCTCTTTTTTCTGTATGTATACTCTTCATTTTCTGAATGGTATTCATCATCCTCTGTAGAGCTAGATCCTCCACGAGCTTTTTCGTTCGCATCTTCTAAAGTTTTAATGCTTTCATCTACTCTCGTAAAAAAGTCTTTTTCTCTCGTGAATGTTTTGCTGACCTTAGGCCAGCTATCGATGGCTCTTTCTATTTGGGCATTCGTATCATCTTCATCCCAACTTAATTTCATAGATGATACATAGCCATCACCTTCAGGGATTTCATCACTGTTAATATCAAAATCTTCTTTACTTACTTCTCCCATTCTTCTAAACACATGAACAAAATACTTGCCATTTTCGTTACCTGTTGAGTAGCTGGGCGCTGATTTCCTAGTAATGCTTTTTAAATTTTGGTCATAATGAGAGAATGCTGGTTCACCATTCTTTGATTTTAAAAGCAGACTTTCCTCTTTGTTTTGTAGAAAACTGTTATTATCAGATTCTTGATTATCTAGATAAGGGTCTTCATAATTTTCTCTTTCGGAAACATTTTCATCATATTGTATTTTCTTTTTCAACGGCTTAAGTCCTGAGATATGTACAGGCTCTCCTGGTTGCCAATGAGGTTTTCTATTTTGACTTGTAGATTTCTTTTTGAAACTAATCGAAGCCACGTCTAATTTAGCTCTATCGTTTTCAGGGAATACTTTGCGAACTATTTTTTTCTCCATCTGTTTTTCGTGAATACCTTCCAAATCCTTTTTACCAGCTTCTAGTAGTTTATAATTAGTTACTTTGTTCCATTTAACTGGACTTTTCCCTGTTTCAGAATTAGATCTCAGAATTTTTTCAGATGAATAGCTTCGTGCATCATGTGTTTGGAAATTTCTATTTTTCTGAAAAGGTGTTTTCTTTTCTGACGAATCGAAAACTTTCTTTTGTGGTTCGTTTCTAAGAGATGTCCACTGTATCAGTTTTATCATATCTTTCGCTTCTTTATTTTGGTCACCCCTATAATTAAAACTTTGTACATAATAATTGTTGTTGGCTTCTCCATCTTCAGTTTTATACATCGACACCCACTCGGGTTTGGAACTTTGTTTGACAGGTTTGTAATCACTGAGCAGTTTTTCACCAATTCTACGTAAAAATGTAACCACATAATCCTTACGTTCTTTTGAAGTACTTTGCTCCGGTGAATTTATTTCACGATGGGTTTGCTGTTTGTTTCCAAGCTCGCTGTGGAAATCAATAGCAGACTCTTTTTCAAGTCTTTTAACTTTTATAGTCGTATTAGGCAATTCTGCGGAAAGGTTGGTTTCTGGTAATGTCTCTTTTTCTATTGGCTGGTGAGATTTCAGGAAGTTTAATATTGGTCTATCAGATTTTAAACGATTTTCCTCTTTGTCCTTTCGTTCCATATTAATATTCATATTGGTTTGATTTTGTTCTTTAAGTATTTTTGATTCAGGTTTTGTTTGATTGTTTTTATTCTTAAATCCTGGTCGCTTTTTAACCCGAAGTACTTTTCGCCGTTTAGTTTTGTTATTTTTCGTAGTGTCTTTAATTTTCCCGTCAGTTTCTTGTTTATTGGCTACTTGTTTTGCATTTGCCTCTTCATCAGCGGATACTTCTTTTGGTGAGGTAATTTTTTCTTGCTGCTTTTCACTAGCCAGCCATACATTGTCGTATTTTTCTGAATGAAGATTTGAATATGTTTTATATATTCCAGCATTTTTATTCAAAAATTCTGACTTTGGAATATTTTGTATCCTTTGAGAATCATAATGCAAATCTTCGGGAGTAATTTCCATTGCCTCTTCATTATCATCTAAATAAATTAAAATAAAAGTCATAAATAAGAGTTTTAAGTTTGCAAATTTTTTAGACAGTTTACTAGGAAAATAATAATAATAATAATAAAAAGCCTGGAGTAAATTTTGCATTTAGATCTGATTCCTCACTTGTACATTTTATTGATTATTATTTTGAAGTTAACAGATTATAATAAATTATCGCCTGTAATGTTAGATAAGCGTAATACATGCTCTCTGTATATTATAAGTATTATACATTCCCCCAAGCCATGCTTCTTTGGAGAATGTTATTTAAAATTATTAGAGTTTACGCATTAAAGTACTTAAGTGTAAAGGTGTAAAATGTAGCAGAAACATGGCTGTTGAAACCTGTAATTTTCCTTTGATTCATAATTATTAAAAGATGCTGCAGCAGTATAGATCTAATTTTGTAGAGGGAAAATACTATTTTCTGTTTTCTTAAATTAAATAAAAAAACCAGAAATAATTAATTTTTAAATATTAATCTTTTGCAAATTTTGAAAAGAAATTATTTGATAAATTGACAGATGTGCTTCGAACAATTTTTCGTATTCTTAGACAAAAGCAGAAAAATCTTTGAATTAGAATATGTATTCTAATTTAAAGATATGATAATTAAAGATATGGGCATATGTCCATCAAGGTTTAGGTAAAATGAGTAAAACGGTTTGACATTATTTAACTTTCCTGTCGAAGGTATTCGGTTTATTTTATTATTTCTAAAACTATTATATCTCCTGCTTTAATATTTAATCTTTAATAGATACTCTATCCAATGCAAAAGTTGAAATATTAATGTGTGTGCAGTACATAAATGTATTGATTACAGTCCATCGAAAATTAGGGAGAGAAGAATAACAAATAAGAAATACATGTGTATTTTTAATGAAAACAAATGAACAAATACGTATATCTATATATTTAAACTTCATTCTTTTAATAATGCTATCGTGACCATATTAGTAGTTAGCGGAGGCTGACTGCTAGTTTGAAATTAAGACCACGCAGCTGAACAGACATCATTCGGAGCCACGCAAGCACTGTATCTCCAAAACTAAACTGTTCGGAGAAAAACGCATTTAAAGATATGATTTGCGCTTCGATTTGGGAGGAGAAAATTCGAATCTTGTTTCTGAAAAGAATATACATCTCTCCGTTTTAGCATATTTGTACAATATTCGAAAAATCTAGAATGACTGTAATGTGGAAATCGAAAAATGCAGATATGTGGTTTTTTTGTCTTGGTACCGACAATATATAGTTAGGAAAGCTTTCTCAATATAGGAAAGTGAAGAAAACGTTCTCATTACAGAAAATGCGATTAAAAATTAAGATAAAATTAAACAGGAATATATGAGGCTACTTATAAATATAAGTAGAGAGGCAAAACATGTGCTGTTCTAAAGTCATCAGGTTTATTTCAAAGCAAGAAACGTAAAGAATAAGCGATGTTCTCGCCGGAATTTGAACTCCACATCTTTCGATTGCTCGCTCGAAGTACTTTGAATTATGCCACAAAGGTACGCGATAAGGAAAGAGAAAATTCCTTACATTCTCACGCATTTGAAGGATGGTTGGAGAGGAGGGGAATCAGTCGCCAAACCCAGATGATAACGAATTATATATATATAACGAATGCCATATTTTAGCTCCGACAGCACTTGTAGAGACATATAGAACTTTTCTAACCCGGGAAACATAAAGAATCAACAATGCCCTCGCTGGAACTCGAACTCCGGACCTTCCGATTGCTAGCCGGCCATGCTTTAAATTACGCTAGGAAGGAGCGCGGCAAGAAGTAGAAAGTTTCTTACATTGGTTAAATGTAAGAATAAATGTAAATGTAAGATGTCTTACATGTTTAAAATACACTCATGTGCCAGAAAAAATTTATATCGAAGAGCTTATGCAAAATACATATCAACGCCACGTCGGCATATATTCAGTATGCCTAAGTCCGCCAGTTTGTATGATATAAAGTGATAAACATCCCTGCCAGCTATCAAAGCTGTTAAAGGCATGAAAATGACTACTCATAATTTCTAAAAGTGATTTTCAACGTAGTGTCATAGTTAGCACTCGTAAGATAGACTAGAGCAGGGGTTCTCAACCGGTGATACGCGTACCACTGGTGGTACGCAAAGAAGTAAAGTATTTTTAACTAAAATAAAAAATTAAAACCCCCAACATCCTGATTGAGTTTTTCCTCTAACAATCGTAAATTTATGCGATCTGAGCTTTGTTCAAGAGTGGTGGTGGGAGTAGTACTTTAAAGTGGTGGTACTAAACTTTTCAATTTTTGTTTAGATGGTACGCGTTAGTCAAAACGTAGAGAACCACTGGACTAGAGCATTTCGGAAGTGGAAAAGTTCATACTTTCATAGATACCATTGTAAAGGTGTACCGAGAATTCCGGTAAAGCATTAAGTTTATGGGTGAACGTGACCATCAATGACTTCAACTGACACACCTGACAAGCGTGCAAGACTCTCAGATAGCATCAGAGTTCAGTGCAGAAGCCTGAATAAGGTTTAGCGTCCGGATTGTGCAATGTACTGTGAAGGTATGGACTTTTAAGAGCTGACGGCTAACTCGAGTTCGTTTGATGACTGTACGACATAAACCTATGCGTCTTCTTAGGCACTGTATTAAACATCTGATGATTGGATACAAGTAGCGTGATCTGACGAGCCGCATTTCCAGCTGTATCAAGTAGATAAAAAAATGTGTGTGTAGCGCGTATGTATGTTTGTGTACCATATGTATGCGAAAACATCACGGAAGAAAACGTCTAGAAGAAAACAACGCAAAGCAAAAATGTCGCCGGGCAAAACATGGTGGCAGAAAAGAAAGCAAGGAGAAAATATCGCAGTTATAAAAGCATTTCGTACAAAATATCATCATCGAAAATAAAGCGGTTCAAAAACTTCCCAGTTTATTAACATTTTCGTTGAAAGTGGTACGATAGAGAACCTACAATTCATCGCATAAGAATAAAATCGCAGAGGTATGTTTTTAAGGCTTTAAATTTGTAAATGCATATACGAATAATGATCTGTGAGAGCAAGAAGACATGAGGAATATTTTTACTTTTATATTTCATAGTTCTGAATCAAGTGAATTTTTGCTGAAAAAATAAGAAGGAAAACTAAGCATTAAAAAATGAAATTAGTAATTAATAGAGATTTGAACTTACATTGGTAATTAATAATATCATAAATTAATTAATTTCTTTTATAAAGTTTTATTTATAATCTTTTCAATAAGTTTTTTATGAAAATTAAAAAACTCTTTAAGTTTTTCAATGGAATTTTAAGTTAATTGGTAATTTTTCCATTTGTTTTCTACTCATTTTCAGTTTTTGAATGCTTAATTTTCCTTCTTTTTTTTCAGCTAAAAATTATTAGTTAATTCAAAAATACGAAATATGGAAGTTCTCATTCTTCCTTGCGCTCACAAATGATTATGTGAAAATGCCTGAAATTGCCCTTTTATAGCCTGAAAAAGCATGTCTGCGACGTTATGGTCCTGCGTTGATTTGTAGGTGCCTTATTTATACTACGATATTTTCGACGACAATTATTTTAAACTGCGACTTTTTGAACCGTTTTATTTTCGACGACGATGTTTTTTACCAAGAGGTTTTCTGCTTGCTTTCTTTTCTCCCATGATGTTTTGTACAACGCCGTTTTTGCCTTGCGTTGTCTTCTCCGTGACGTTTTCGTCCGAAATGCTTTCACCTGTAATCTGCATATGAAGCCAAAGATCCCATTTGTTAACGGAATGTTTGTCAGTTTTTCGTAGTGGCTTCGTTATGGTACATTGTTTGTTTACTTGAAAATAAATTGAGACCCTTGGGTACATCTACATACGTCAGTGAATGGTCAACAGTATGTGTTCTTCCTCGACGATTCATATCCGTCCATGTCCTGAATTCATGGTATTGGATTAGGCCTGTTCCATCAAATAATGCACTTTTGCACAAGTACCGAGACATCACATTATGGTTGCAGGAGCATTTATCTGAGTTTGGAGTTTGCCATTGCCCATTCGGGTTTCCAGATTTGAACCTGATAAAAGGGATAACTTGATCCTTTTAGGGATGCCATGCAGTGAGTTATCGAAGAGAGAAATCTAAGATCTCGAGATACATCCGGATTGTGGAGCGGGTTTTTAGGAACTATGGTGTGCTTTGCTTGCAGCATATTTCCAGAAGTTCGTGAAGTCCACGCCCAATCGTATTTTTGCAGTCCTTTGCTCTTGTGATGGGCCTACCAAGTACTATACCAGTGTACCAGTTTTTCTAACCCTTGAGTATATATTATATAGCTAACCAGTACAAATAAATCAAGGAATATTTACATTTGTGTAACAGTACAACAGTGAATTTTAGAATCGTATTTTCATTACAGAAAATTACGTATGACAACTGGTGAATTTAAAATTTGGTAGGCCGAAGATGAAACGTAAAACGAATATCAAATAATGTAAGAAGAGACAGATAAAGTGAGAATCAAAACGAATGTAAAATAAATAGATGCAGATGAGTAAATGTTAGTAGGAACTACAAGTAAAAATGAACAAGCGTATTTTAAGCAACATCGAGTTCGCAAGTGGCTGAATATTTAGTATGTTAAACACTGATAATTCTTCCCGGGTTCAAAAGCAAACACATTATGTATGTTACACGAACAATCCCCTGAACTTGAATGAACTAGAGCAAGGATGTCAAACTCGCGGCCCGCGGGCCTCATGCGGGCCACAACAAATATTTTTGCGGCCCGGCCAATATATCGGCAAATAATAATATATAACAATAAAATAACATATCGACGAAGAAAAAAATGAAATGTTTACTGCTAAGTAATTAACGATAATTTATTCAGTGTTGTTAGATTACTCACAGCGAGCTGACACACACACTACACTACTACAAATGTGTGTGAGTAGCTTGCGTTCAGCTACCTTCGGCTTTTGGGGAACACGTGCACTCAGAACTTGTACGCATCCCCCGATAGCCGAATGTGGCCGAACTCATGGTCTCAGTTTTCCAATCATAGTTTTGTACGATATATTGGTGCATGCATGCGCATGCACTTTGCTTTATTACTAATTATTACTTAATTCATATTGTTACGGATTTCATAGTTATTTATTTATTTAGTTTTTTTATTTAGAATTGTAATTAGATTTGCTTCATTTTGCTTAGCAACGTAGACGATTTTGAAAAGACCGCTGCGTTGGAAGATTAAAAATAGAACAGCGCGTGCATTTAATACCTAATAAATAAATATCTCGTAATTGCTGTTGCCATCCACAAGAATACAGATATTTATAGATGTTTCCAGTATATTCGAGAAATTAATTATAAAGTTTATAAAAGCCGAGAACAAACAACTCATCTCAGTAGTAGCTGTAGTTCTAGCGAAATGTTTGTTTACTTAATGCTGTGATTGATTTGTAGCGATTTCGCTGTGAGATAGAATTAGTTTCTCTGTTTTCTCTAAAATACAAGACTTTGGAGTTGGTGTATACAGTAAACCCTTTTCCCAATGTACTTCTTTGGGACACTTCATGTCGAATTTGGATGCAAAGATCCTTGCAATCTCACTAGCTCTAGAAAACCTCAAATAAAGATCGATTGTTTCTCTAAAGCAGTTATTCTAGTCGATTCCAAAGCAGCCATGCAGGCTGTAGTTATAAATCATGACACAGATACTCAGATTATCTCAGAAATACGACAAACCTTGAACTTTCTATATAAATACAAGGCAATCATTTTCAATAGATCCCTTCACATGTAGGTATCGACCGTAACGAAAAGGCAGATTCACTAGCTAAGAGAAGAATGCTTGAGCCACAAGACAGCAAACCAGAGTCACTTAAACAGCATATTTTTGCGAAATTAATGGATACGCTTAAATCTGACCAGACAGCAAAATCAACAGGCAAGTCCTGGGCAAGCATTCAAGATACATGGAAAAATGTTGTCAAAAACCCTGTAAAGAGGCTGTGGCAAACTTAAGATTGCAAATAGGCCACGATTGTATGGCAAATCATCTTAATAAAATTGGCATCCTTCCATTTAATATATGTCAGATTTGTAATTCGGGCATCATGAATGCAGAGCATCTTCTTTTATGCCCAGAACTACATAAAGAATCTCAGAAACGTGGTGAGATATGCAAACTATACTGGAATCCCAAAACTTTCATAAATTTCTTGTAAAGACTATATCTCTTATGTTCCTTTCCTTGTTGTTTAAATTTTTAACTTTTTGCTTTTGTTCCCATGTTCATTTGTTCTGGTTCTTACCTTAAATTTTTTTTATTATATATCATTGTTCTTGCGTGATACTTGAGATGTTTTATATGTTTGGACTGATCTTCCCAATAAAACCATAAGTAACAAAAACATAATTACAGTATAAAAATTTTCAAATTACTAGTTTAAACTGAAATACTATTGTTGTTAATAAAGAAAAGTCGATTATTAAAAGAAATATTTGCTAGGTGTATTTTAGTGCTTAAGTTCATTCATTTTATTTTCTTAAAATCTCAGCCATTTTCTTTGTTGGTTGGAATGAAATTTAGGGGTGATTCCTAGAATCGATGCCATTTTAGATTGAAAGAAATAAAATATAAGTATTATAATTTTTAACACCCAAATAGAAACTAGCAGACCCAAATGGAATACATGATAATAATATATGCGAGAACAATCAAAGGAAGAAGCTGAAAATACAACTGAAGATGAACTGAAAATCAACTCATATATTCCGTCAAATGCAAATGACGGAAATAATGGGATCTGACGGAAATAATGGGAACTTCAGATGCAGAAAACTCTTTAAGAATATTTTGATTTTGTTTACATTTGTTAAAAACGTAAGAGATGGCAATACATTTTTGCACGATTTAGGAAGTTATTATTTTTAGTTGCACATTTTTATGTCCTGCTCGAAAATCTGGTGCAGACTGGAGATAGCTGTATAATATTCCTGCAAAGCATCAGTGTTCTGTAACTTTTTTGAATGTTCAAGCCCTGAAAATTGCTTGCCTGTTTACGTCTGCCATCGTAATATTTATGCCTTCTTTTCATAACAAAGCGTGGTTAAAAATGCCTATTTTTATCTGAACTATCCCTTTCTTGATCTGCATTGTTTTCCAGAGTATTTTATTTCATATGCTTTACGAAAACTGTGAATTTTTCTCACCGCCTTATGCGTAAGCAAAAACCAATGTCACTTATGTTTGAGAACAAATGCATTACTATTTGACAGCCATTTTGTTTTCGCGGGCCATCCGAGCAAAGCGAAGTAACACTGCTAGAGGTCGATAAATAGCAATTCTGCATTAACAGAGAAGAACGTGTAAGCCAACCTCAACATCTAAACGGAGCTGAAAATCCGGGCAGAGGATGCAGCAATCTGATTTATAAGAACTGTCCAAGGAGGAGCAAATCTGATCAATTAGAGAAAGGAAAGAAATTTTGAGGTGTAAAGATGTGTTTGAGCGATGCATGTTAGTATTACTCTTATAATATGCATATAATACCAGAATGGAAATAAACATCAGCACTGTAGATAAATGCCTTAAAATAACTGAAAAAAACCACCGAATTATACGTAATGTGCAACGTAAAGATTGATAAACGCGAAGAATATAAATAAAACTAAAATGCTTCTTACAATTTGCATTTTTCTCCGGTTGTACTACATATTAAACTAAACTTAATTTTATTATTTCACATATTTTTATAAATCTTAATTGACTGTTCAATCAAAATAATTCATGAAAGGAAAGATAATTCATGAAGATAATTTTCACAAAAAAGGAAATTTCCAGATACTGCACATTACCTGAAACTCTAAGCTGCGATTCGTCTTCTTCTTTAAATACATCTTTTATGGATTTAGAAGGTTGATCATCTTCCTCTTCTTCACTCTCATCTATGAACATGCGTTTTATGAACTTGGAAGCTTGTTCAACTTCTTTTGCTCTGAGAGTTTCGGAAACGAGAGTCTCTGGAAGGCTTTGTGATCTTTCAGCTGACAGAGAAGTGCTGACTTTTCGAGTCTCTAGAGGTAATTTGGCACTTGATTGACTGACATCCATTCTCTGGGATTCGAATCCATACTCATAGATATCTGTAGGAAACTTATGGCTCTGAAATTTAAAAAAAAAGTGAAGTCAGTTGATTTTAAGTATTTGTTTGCGCCGCGAAAGAGTCTGAAAACCGATGATAATTGTAACTTTAAACATTGCCATTTTACATATGTTAAACGATTTATTTTTACAAATATAAACAATGATCTATTTTGAATTTGTAAACAAGTCTAGAAAATGGTAGGTAACAGCGGACTTCTTAACCGATCGCTAATTTTTTAATTAACTTTTTATAGTTATAAAAGTCATATTCAACTGCTCAATTCACAGCATTGAAAAAATATTCCCAGTCTCATAGGAGCCCAATAAATTTTATGTCTCATATAAGATGAATCGAACTTTGCTTACTTCTATTCTATAAATATCTGTGTGCTTATATTCCTTTTTAATTGGGTAAAAAAGTGTGTAAGGTAAAGTTTTGTGATCAATGAATAAAATGTTTTTTTTTTCAACTTCTAGGAAATATCGGAATTATTTGGTTAATGCGTACACTGAAAGTAATTCTGTAGCAGATGCATCTGTGTTCTGTACCTGCGTTTGTGTTTCAGAGGTGAAAAGTTTTAAGAATAAAATGCAAGGTTTGGGGTTTCCATTCAATTGTCTGAACAGAGTATGGTCGGAGTATGTATATATTGCTGTATATATTGCGAAATTAATTTTCGGACATACTCAAAATACTGTATTCCATATAAATGCTTTCATATCAGTTTTGAACTTTTTCCTGGCTTTAATACATCTTTTTGTTTTCACTAGTGTCCTTTTTCTTCGTTACTTTTAAAGTGACGAAACACCACTTTTTATGTGTCGCATGTGGTATGAAACTGCGAAAAAAGTTTAAAAGCTTAGAGAAAACTTCTAAGATCTTTAATTGTTTCGGTTCGAGGGAAATTTAAGATAAACTCATCTGTTAAGTAAAAGAGATCTAACTTCCTTCTTTAAAAATTAAATATTCTAAAAACGAGATTTCAGATATTCTAAAAGTGCATTTTGAAACATTAATTATAAGGTTGTAAGATTTTATGTTCATGAATACAGTTAGCATTTGATTTTGTATTTATTATCACTTCTCTTTTCGTCCACTCTCACTAGGACGCAAATTAGTTCACGTGTAAAAGCGCCGAGTTGAGTTATTGTTCAGAGATTGTGCTGTGTTATATTTTTAAGTTTTGTGTAACCGTCAGGCTGGCGATAAATAAAATGGTTTATTTTAAGCCGTCATCTGAGTTTGTGGTTACTGTACTTTAGAAGATAAGACAGAGCGATAAGTAACCTGTTTGTCTGTATGGTGTAAGGAATTAGCATTGGAAGTAGTGTAGACCCTGTAGGATAATATACAAGATATCCCATAAGTCTGTAAATATTTTAAAAATTCGTAAAAATCGGAGGAATTGAACGCGGTTTGTGGAAACGTTATTTTCTTGAAGGGGGATTTTTGTTTTTTGGATGAAGGAAAAAAATAGTTAAAATTTTCGTCAATAGCGGGAATCGCACAGACGCAGTAACAAGAAATATGTAAATAAGAGTTCTATAAATTATAGGTTTTATGATTAACAACTCATTTATGTCTTTTACCCCTACTTGCTGGTACTTAAAGGTTTAATTGTGATGCTGACATTAGTGAATAAAGCGTTATTAGTGAAGCTGTTTTACCTCAGTCAAGAAGCGAAGTCTGAAGCTTTACGAAGGTTTTGGACACAGAAAGGATGGAACAAGGGTTCAGGTACGATCACTTTTGCCGGACTGACTTTCCTGGTACGACTTTCGAAGAAACGGGAAGTTTGTGTCATCGCCTTCGTAGTTGTGCACCAAGTTTATCAGAGACCCGTTTTTCCGATGTGGCTTTGCAGATTGACCCTCTAAAGTTACAATCAACCGGTGCAGTAAGTAGCACATGAGAAGTAGCTTGGAACACTGGTACACCGAAAAACATCGGTAATCCGCATCCTCCACAATGTTTTAAAATTGTACCCCTACAAGTTATAATCAGTTCACCAGCTCTTATTAAATGACAAAATAAAGCGATATGAATTCCCAAATTGGGCTTTGTCGAAAATCGATGACGATCCACAATGGTTCTCAATATCTCGAGGACAGGTGAGGCTCATTTTTACTTGCATGGAACAATCAACACCCATAACCTTTCTAATCTGGTTTCAACATTTCCTTAATCTGGGCAAAGGAGAACCAACGTGCCTATATTGAGGAGCCTCTACATTCACCGCTTTTAACTGTTTAGTGTGGTTTCATTGCGTCCATTATTGTGGGCCCTTTTTGTTTCAAGAGCGCTGTGCAAAAGTTGGCTGGGAGAACAGCTCAATTACTGCAAAACGCTACTTGCAACTGCTGCAGGAGAAAGTGATATCTCATTTACTGGACCATAATGTCCCTGACACAGTGACGTTTATGCAAGAGGAGACAACTTCCTATATCAAAACTGAAGTGAAGACATTCCTAAGAAGAATTTTCACCGACGAGCGGTTAATTAGCCGTCATCGTAGGAATGAGAATTCCCGTCGATCACAGGACTGAACAACGGGAGGTATGGCTTTGGAGTTATGTCAAGTTCAGAGTGTAGCCCATCTGTTTTGGTGCAGTTAAAGGACGCCATTCATCACGAAATCTCTTACATCCATTCGGATATGCTACATGCTGAAGTTAATGGTGTTGTAACTCGCTTGCAAAGTGTAGTTTGTGGGGATGGCATATATGCTTTCAAACATTTGCCTGCATGCAAATAAATATAATTTTCCTTGAAATGCGTGATTTGTGCCCTATATCGATGAAATCTATTGTACAGTGTCTCTGTCGACTAAAGTTTTGACAATTTTTTCTTTATCCCCCCCCCAAAATCCCCTTCACGAGAATAACGTTTTTGCAAACCGTGTTCAATTCTATCCCATCCTTCAATTTTTATGAATTAAAAAAAATATTTACAGACTTATAGGAAACCTTGTACATTCAGGTATTCAAGAAAACTTAGAGAATGCGAATTTCGTGTACTGTTTAGTTTCACTGAAATTTAATGCATCATTTAAATATACTTAGCAAAATTTAAGGTCACCCAATGTATAGATCATGAGCCGTTGAAAAGTCTGAGTAGCTGCATATAATTCAATACTGAGGAAATTCAAGCAACCGAAGAGGATACATACAGCCAGCCATTTTGAGAATGAATAGTAATTTGAAGATTGAACAATACCGATATTCGAGATTATGTTTTTGTTTAGAGAATTTATTTTGTGAGATAATGCGATAATTCTTGTCAAGGCAATTTTGTCATATCATCTGTGAGTTTGTGTTTTAAAGTCAATTACGACTCAAAAGTATTCTAAAAACATCTGGTCTTATAATTAATCTGGGGTTGGCAATAAGCAATGGCCCTGGAAATTTGGCAATTAACATTAATACTGGCGCTGGGTATTAACGCTGATATTACAAACTGAATCTATACCCATAAACCTAAATCTACACTACATCCAATAGACTGAAATCGTAAGCATAAATTTTGAAATTATGGTAAGCAAACAATTGTAAGAAAACGGGAAATTAATTTATTGTAACATCAGATGCTGAAATGCACAAAATATGGAACTGAACAAAAAAAAAAAAAAAAAAAAAAAGGATAAGAAAAGTAACTGTTTATCAAATGTAACTGTTAAGGGTTTGGCAAATGAAGACAAGTGACAGAAATTAAATTAATTATGGAAAAAAATAACGAAACTAAAATCATTCCTGATCAACAGTATAAATGTACATTGTTGAAAATGGAGTAAAATCGCATTAATCTCCTTTATTATTTAAAAGAATTCGTAAAGCGAGTTGTTTATACTTCGTGTTTATGTTATCTGAAAGCTTTTATACTTTCTTCGATGAGATATTGTACAGTGTTCTCCACTGTCGTGCTGAGCCACAGTGATATGATTATATTTGCATTTAAAGAACATTTTGAGATGCAGCCCATTTTAATGTTTCACAGTCTGTAATGTCAGCACAGGTTGTATATTCATGTAGAAACTAATCAAACAGGAAGGTGTAAAGATGTTTCTCCCTAGATATTTTTGGTTTTGCTTTCGAGTATTTTTAATATCATACTTGTTTTCCACTGTTCTTTGTTGAATGTTAAGAGACAATAAACTCGTATAGCTGATAAGTAATCCTTATATTTCTTTGTAAGTGAGAGAAGGACTTATTATTGTGATATCTGGCGACTGTTTGGCGATCAAACAGAGCATGCTTGGCGCAGGTAGCTCTTCTTCGAGAAGGGTTAATGTATTTATTAGGAGTTGCATGTTAGCCTCGGAAGAGGAAGGTAGTAGATTGTACTACGCGGTAGGAGCGACATACTGCTCTGAGTAACTATTATATTATGATTTGAATTATATATTTAATAATGTTTGTTTCGTCTTGCTAAATGGTGCCTTGTTAAACCACGAAGTCATCACAACACGCTCTCTTTCGAGAAAACCAGAGAGGTTAGAAGCTTAGAGCGTTGAAAACGGAAGAGGCGTAAAGTTAAGCCTAACTAACGAAAGAAGTGTTCATTTGCAAAAGAGAGTAAAAACGTGAGAATTATTTAATCGAGAGTTTGAAAGGCTTGATTCTAAAGGAAAATAGAAGAAAATGTTCAAAAACGCAAAGAAAGAGGATTTAGTAACAGTTCTATTGGAAATTGGCGAAGAAGCATCCCCAGATTTGAAGCTGGTAGAACTGAAACACAAACTCCAGAATAGCAAGGAATACATCGAAGATGCTGATTTCGTGAAAGAAATTCATGAGTCAACATTTCAACAACTGAAGGAACGATTAGCGATGTCAACGGAGCTGATCACCCCAACACTGCAGGATCCGTTTGTCATTCATTCTGATGCATCCCAAATCGGAATAGGTGCATGTTTGTCACAGCAAAGGGGATAGAAAGCAATTTCCCATCTGCTACGCGAGCAAGAAATTATCGAAACCTCAATCAAGAGCTGGCCGACCTATAGAGCATGAATGCTTAT